TCGAGGCTCCCAGGTGGCCTCCAAGAGACCCCAAGAGAGGTCCGAGAGGCGTCCCAGGACGGCCCGAAGAGCGCCGCAGAGGCTCCCAAGACCGCCCCAAGACCACCCAAGAGACTCTCAGGACGTCCCCAAGAGGGGCCAAGAAGGCTCCAAGACTGCCAAAGAGGCGCCCAGGACAGCCCCAGACCACCTCAGAACAGGCCCAAGATGGGCCCAAGAGCGGGAGCAGGAGGCTTCCAGAGACCTCCGAGAGGCCTCCGGGACCCCCCGGAGGCCCCCAACGCACCCCCGATCCCTGAGAGGCCCCAAAAAGACCCCGACGAGGCTCACAAGAGGGTAGAATCGTGGATCTTCAAGGGTTTTTCAACTGTTTTTCGCCTTCTCACGTTTTCCCGCTTCCAACCCAAAAAGATCGAGGATTGTAAAGTGGAACTCCTATTCGGGGGGTCCTACACATCCCCTGACGTCTGGCCAGTACCGCGCCTCCCCGCTTCTTGGGGAGACCCCAAGACGCCGAAGGACAGCCCGTGACGACCCCAAGGCTCCCCCAGAACGTAAAGAACGGCCGAACACGCTCCCGCGCAGCCCGAGACACCCTTCCGACGGCTCTCCAGGCCTCCAGGAGGCCTCCAGAACCCCCAGGGGGTCCGGAAGTTCCCACACCCCTGAGGGGCCTGGCTAACAAAACCCGCGAGGCACAAACAAAAAAAGCGCCGACCAGCGCCGAGGAATTGGAAAAACATGAGAATCCTACAATTCCTTTTTTTCTCCAAGTTTGGCCTCTGGTTTACTCTTGCACAACAGACCACAGTTCAGACCCCCCTCACCTCCCAAAAAAGAACCTAGGAAGCATTTGAGGGCCCCAAATCGTTGAATATCTAAAGGGAATTAATGATTTCTGCGTCTCCGCACTTCCCCTTCTATACGATCCCGAGGCTTGCGCAGGGTCTCCAAGGCAGTCCCTTGACGCAAGAAGCGACCAATATGAGATTACATGAGTGAGCTTATCAAGCCTAGCTAGAACTTGAGCGCGCGCGAAGATCGCGCGATGAATACATGCAAATGCTTATGCACATGCATAGGTATAAGCATGTGTATGTGCATGTGTGTGTATATATATATATATAGATAGATAGATGGATAGATAGATAGATAGATAGTTAGATCCCTGGGAGGCAGGCCCGGGGCCCACAAACAGCTGCCCCGACCCCCCATGGGAGGACGGGGCGGCCGGGGAGGTCCAAAATAGTCCAGGAGGGCCTCCAGAGGTTCCCCAGACGACCCACGCGGGCCCCGAGTCGCCGAGAGACCGCTCCTGGACGCCCAAGATATGCCCAAGACGGCCCGAGAAGCCCACCCAAGGCACTCCACGACGCTTCAAGACGCCTCTCCCGATCGCTTCAAGAGACCCAAATCGTCAATTTTACGGAAGTTTTGGAGAGATTTTGGCCTTCAGCCTTTTCGGCTGTCCGACGTCCCAGGCCGGCTCCATAGGCCCCCAAGAGCGCCCCAAGACGGCCCCAGAGGCGCCCAAGAGAGCCCCAAGACGTCCCCAAGATGCGCCCAAGAGGGGGACCACGACTCCCCAATTCGACCCTCCCGCTTGAAGAGTGCCCCAGGAGGCCCCAAGGAGCCCCCCAGAGGCCCGTGGAGGCCCCCGAGAGGCACCCAGGAGACCCAAACAAGGCCTCAAGAGGCCACAAAACAGCCCCGAGGAGGTCCCACAACGGTCTCAAAATGGCTACCGAGAAGCTACCATCAGGCCCCTCCAGGCCCGCAGAGACAGGCGGGCCCCCCCCAGCCACATGACTTGGTCGGTCCTCGAATCGCGGCGTGTCGTGCCGCCACGACCACGCTCCCTCGACGGGCCAATCCCCCTCTTCCTCCCCTTCCTCCTCCTCCTCCTGCTCCCCTCCTCCCCCTCCTGCTCCTCCTCATCTTCCTCCTCCTCCTCCTCCTCTCCCACCTCCTCCTGCTCCTCCTTTTCCTCTTTTTCCTCCTCCTCCTCCTTTTCCTCCTCCTCCTCCTCCTCCTCCTCTTCCTCCTCTTCCGTCAAGGAACGTCTCAGGATGAAGAGCCGTCCCTGGGGAAAGGGTCGGAACTTCGGGGGCCGCGTATTGACGAAATCAGGACGTCGCATGTCTGTGCTATCCACGTCCCAGTTCCCGCGCGTCAGCGTCCCCAGCTTTCCGAAGCAACCCGCCCCGCGGATCGCAGCGACACGCTATCCACTCGCGTGGGCCGTAGCGTGTCGCCAGGGCCGCCGTCGCGACATGCGAAAGAAACGTTCCTGGCCCTCTGAGATGGGGCGGAGGGGGGGGGCAGAGCCTAAGCTGGGCCCCGCTTTGGAGCCTGACCCCCCCCCCTCTATCGGGTGCTTTAATCGTGCTCCGCCTCGCGTTTCTGTGTTTCACGTGGTACCGCCGTGCGGACCCTAACGGGCGGGTCGGGTCGGGCGTTCGGGACATTCAAGTAGGACGCATCACCGAGGCAGCACACGCGAACCCCAACGGGCGGGTCGGGTCGGGTGGGCGGACCCTAACGGGCGGGTCGGGTCGGGCGGGCGGACCCTGGCGGGCGGGTCGGGTCGGGCGGGCGGAGCTGGGCGAATCAACACTCGGGCGAACCGAGACTCGGGCGAATCGATCCGGGCGATTCGAGGCCGGCCCCAGGCGAATCGAGCCGGAGCCCCGAGCGAATCGAGACTCGGGCGAATGAAGCCCCGGGCGAATCGAGCTGGGCGAATCAAGCCCATGCGAATCGAGCCGGGCGAACCGAGACTCGGGCGAAGCGAGCGTGGCGATTCGAGCTGGGACGAATCGAGTTGGGCGAGTCAAGCCGGGTGAATCGAGCCTCGGTCGAATCGAGCCAGGCGAATCAAGCCATGCGAATCGAGACTCCAGCGAATCGAGCCGGGCGAACCGAGCCGGTCGAATCGAGCTGGGCGAATCGAGACTCTGGCGAATCGAGCCGGGCGAATCGAGCTGGACGAAACGAGGTTCGGGCGATTCACGCCTACGCCCCTGACGGCCCCTGGGGGCCCCGAGTTGCCGAACAAATGCTCCCAGGCGCCCTTCATGGCCTCGAGGTGGCCCCAAAATGCCCCCAAGACGCTCCGCAAGAGCTTCAGACGGCCCAAAACGCTTTCAAGATGTTCCAAAAGGGTTCCAAAAGGGTTCCAAAAGGGTCTATCCCTTTCCTCTTTGCTCTCCCTCTGCCCCTCTCCCGTGCTCCCGCAACCACTGTGGGCCCAAGCCTGGGGCCCCAGGTTTTACTGCCTCTCGGGCGGCCCGCGCCCGAGACTCGTGAGCCTGCCGGCACGCTGGTCGGAGCAAAAGGGGCTGCGCCCACTCGGATTGCAGCAGAGCAGCAGATCGGAGTTCAAACTGGTCGCGGAGCTGGGTTTACGATCTACGGCGGAGACAATGGCCCGCATGACGGACGAGTCCGCAGAGGAACTCTTCGTCGACAAAGAGGGCATCCCGCACTGGGACGGCGAGAACATAGCTCTTCTACGAGAATACAGAATGAGGGTGATGATAGAGTACAGCACACAGTCGAGCTCGACGGAGGCTGGCAAGGAGAAGCGGGCGAACCTGGGCTTGCGCCTGACGCGGGGCCTCACAGGCCGCGCGTGGAAGGCGGTGGAGCCCCTGCTGGACAACATCACGGCGCTCACCCAGGACGGCTCGCATCAGAAGATCATCGAGGCTCTCGATGGCCTGGACAAGGTAGCGGTGGTGCGTAAGCAGCAAAAGTTCGATGATTTCTTCAAGAGGTCCCGCCGCCGCCGTGGCCAGGATATCGTCGAGTACCTGAGGACGTTCCACAACAAGTACAAGGAGCTGACAGAGCTGGACGAGGGGACGAAGCTCAGCGACGATCTCTACGCGTACTTCCTCCTTGAGGGGGCTATGCTGACGGACGACCAGAAGAGACTGGTCACGATGGTGGCGGACAATAAGTATGAGACAAAGGCCTTCGAGAACACACTGAAGACGAACTACCACGACCTCCACCTGCAGGAGAAGACCTCCCGGCCGCCACAGCCCCATCCTCATGGACGCTCGAAGGGCGGAGGCAAGGGCGGCAAGGATAAGTCCAAGAAGCAGACGAGGGTGTACTACACCGAGGCGGACGACGTGGACTACGATGAGGACGAGCAGGACGAGGACTACGACGACGAGGCCTACGAGGCCTACGAGGACGGTGACGCCGAGGAGGACATCGCCAGCGACGCTGGCGCGAGTCAGGACGAGGCGATCAACAACGCGTACGCCGCCTACGACACTGCTCGGGCCAAGGTTCGAAACCTCCAGCGGAAGCGTGGCTTCTTCAAGGCGGAGGCACGTTGACCTTCGAGGAGCGCAAGGCGGATATTGCGAAGGACAAGCAGCGCACGCACTGCGGGGCGTGCGGCAAGCTCGGTCACTGGGCCGGGGACCCTGAGTGCCCTATGGGTCCGAAGAGGCCGAGGCCGACGGCGAAGCCGAAGAGTCGAGCGGATCCACGGGGACGAGCAGCGGCGCTTTCGCGCCCGGCATGGAGCAGCCCTTCGGCTTCGGGCAGCAGTCCCCGCCCATCGAGCAGCACCAGCGCCAAGAAGCGGAGGGGCGCGACCCTTTTCGTGCTGGACGACGTCGAGTACGACTCGGCCTTCCTCGTCAGCTCGGACCGCGGCTCCGACCTCGGCTCCTTCAAGCTCGTGGGCAGCGATGTCGGCGACAGTGCGAGCGTGGTCAGCGACAGCCTCAGCACGATCCTCCCAACGATGAAGGACGACGAGGGTGGCTCGCCAGAATCATCGGACAGGCGGCTGGTTCTTCGGATGCAGTCAGTTTCCGGACTGCAAGGGCACGCTGAACTACAACGAGGGCGAGCAGAGGCTGCGCGAGGCGCGGCCACCGCCGTCTTCGGCCTGAGCACACTCCACACCGGGGCCCAGAGGGGCCCCTCGGGGGCGCCACGTGCGCCCAGTACCCGGGGAAGGATTTTTGGAGATGGTGCTTATGGTGAGTGAAGACAGTGACACGTCTGACGTACCAGTGGCGCTCATCGACACCGGTTGCACAAGATGTATGCACGGCAAATACTGGCGGGAGCTGTTCGAGAAGAGGTGCCTGCATCCCCGCGGCCTCGAGATCAAGATGACGGACCGCGTGAGGAGCTTCTCCTCGGCCTTCGGCAAGAGGCAGGAGGGGCGCGTGGTCGAGATCCCGGTCGCCCTTGGCGGCCGCCGCGGGGTGATCTTCAGCGCGGAGATGGAGGGCTGCGACGCCCCGCTCCTGGTCAGCCTGGCGTCGCAGGAGGCGCTGGGTGCCGTGCTCCACCTGAAGGAGATGCGGATGGAGCTGCAGACGCTCGCCGTGGACGTGCAGCTGCTCAAGGTGGGCGGTCACTAGGCAGTGCGACTTGATGACTGGGGAGACGATGATGGTCACCGATCGGCAGCAGCTTCGAGTTCAGGACCAGCGACGGCGATCTCAAAGAATAGGGACTCGGAGTTCTTCTACGCGCAGGCGCAGAAGGAGTCGGTCTTCGAGGAGTCCGACGGCGAGGAGATCCGAGTCGAGGAGGAGGTTGGCCACGCCTTCCTGTCGAAGGATCGCGGTGTGCTGGCCACCGACGCGACAGGGATCCTCTCCAAGACGACTCGGAAGAAGCTCGAGTCCACCTGGCGTGAGCTTCGTGGAGAGGATCGACGACTACGAGAAGAGCTACTTCGACCGAGGTTCGAGGCGGAGCGTTTCGTGACCGCCGACTTCCAGACCACGGTGGTGTTCGAGCCGTTCGGTGGGGGGCACATCCTGACGCGCTACGGTGCAAAGGAATGCGGTTGGATGCAGTCTCAGCCGCTAGACGTGGACCACCCTCCCGACTGACCTGCTCAAGGGCCCTGGACGGGCCTCACGCTACCGGATCCTCGACCTGCACTGGCCTTACATCACAGTGTTGGTTTTTCCCTGTCATCCGTGGTCCCTGATGACCAACATGAACAAGCTCATCGACTGGGATGAGGTCCGCAGGAGTGCTCGTCGTTATCTTTTGCTCGTTCGGCGGGTATCTCGATGTGTGCATGCGAGAGGGCGGTATTTCTTCATAGAGCAGCCTTTGACAGCACTTTCTTGGGAGCATGATGGCATCCTGATACGTTTGTGGGATTTGGAAGGTGTTGTGTTTGTGCGCGGAGATCAATGTGCCTACGGAGCCTGCGACAAGGACGCGGGCAAGCCGATCAACAAGCCGACGGGGTGGCTCACGAACAGCGCAGCGGTGGCGGACCACCTGAGCAAGCGCTGTGCCTGTCCGCCCGGCGCCCACCGGCAGCTGCTCGGGAAGAACTCGGGTGGCTATCGGGCGCAGCAGGCGGCAGCCTACCCCGTGGGCCTCGCGAAGGCCTTCTGTCGCGGCGTGCTCCAGCAGATGCAGATCGACTACCGCAGCTCGCTGGTCATGGATGCGGCCTTCCCTGTGGAGGATGCTTTCCCGCGCGAGCGTCCGCGATCGCGGAGCCCGCCGCGGGGAGAGCCTGTGCCAGAGGAGGCGCGCCAGGAGGGCCCGCCTCTCGGAGAGGACGCGCCGCCTGCCCAGGCGGCGGCGGAGGCCCCAGAGGCGCTGGCCGAGGTGCCCGTGAGGCCCAGGCGCGGCCGAGCGCCTGCTCGCCGCGAGCGCGGAGTGCCTCCTGGCGGACGCCCGCTGGGCTTCCGCCGGGGACGGCGTGCGCAGTGCGGCGAGTTCGAGCTGCTGACGGTGGAGCTGTGCGCTGAGCTGGACACATTCCGGAGTTGGCATAGGAGGTTACTGGAGAAGATGGGCGAGGATATCGAGACGATCATCTGGGGCTCGGACCTCTTCCTGGAGGAGCTGGGAGGAGTCATCAGCGAGCCGCTGAAGATGGTGAAGGCTAGACGCGGGGGTCAGCGGCTCCAGACGGCACAGCCGCAGCTGCACGCCGCGGACGCCCCGCTCAGGATGGTCACTACGCTCAAGGGCGACCAGCTCTTCAGGCTAGACTTCGAGGACTGGTCGCAACAGTCTCTGCAAGCGCGACGGCGCTGGTTGCCGCGACATCTACTCGAGAACGACGTGGTGGTCTTCTACTTCGCGGGCTACGAGCGGGGTGACCTGCCCGAGGGGCCGGCTGCAGCGCAGCAGCGGGACGCCTCACGGGAGAGGAAGCGACGTTGGGAGCTGTTGCCGAGAGCCGTCAAGAGGGCGATCGAGAGGGTGCACGTGAACCTCGGGCACCCCTCACGGCCAGCGCTGCTCAGGGCGTTGCGCCTGGGCAAGGCAACGGCGCTGGCACTGAAGGCAGCGAGGCTGTCTGTTTGTGAGAGCTGCCGGCGAGTGCAGCGACCCAGCATCCCACGTCCGAGTCAGCTCCCGAGGGTCGACGAGTTTAACGTGCTGCTCGCGATGGGCTGCTTCGAGAACGTCGACAGCGCCGGCAACAGCTGGGAGTTCCTTGGCATCATGTGTATGGGGACGAACTACTACGTGGTCTGCCTGCTGGAGGACACTCACAATAACCCCAAGGCCTCGGAGGTCAGGAAGTTCTACGAGCTCTGCTGGGTCTCCTGGGCTGGCAAGCCGGAGGAGGCGATCGTGGTGGACCGCGCGCGGTCCTTCCTGGGCGAGTTCGCGGACTACCTGGAGCAGGAGGGCGTGCGCCTGGACTCGGCCGCTCTGGCCTCGCCGTGGCACATCGGCAAGATGGAGCGCCGCGACGGCATCTGGAACTCGATGCTCACGAGGGTGGTGCACGACAAGCAGGTGGCGGGCCTTGAGGAGATGAGAACGGCAGTGGCGGAGCGCAACAGGGCCAAGAACACGCTGGCCCGGCGGGCTGGTTTCAGCCCCTACCTCTGGGTCCTCGGCCGGGATGTTCGCCTCCCGGCGAGCCTCGCGGACGACGCCGAGGTGGAGCGTGTGGGCGAGCAGGTGGCAGCTGCTACGCCGGGCTCGCGTTTTGCCCGCAAGGCGGAGATCAGGACCCAGTGCCGGATGGCTTTCATCCAGACCGACACGGAGGATCGACTTCGACGAGCGGAGCTTCGACAGATACGACCGACGAGAGGGCCGTTCGTTGTCGGCCAGTGGGTGCTTTTCTACGACCAAGCGCAGCCAGCCAAGCATCGGCCTGAGCATCCAGACAACTGGCGAGGGCTGGCGCGCGTGATCGGACATGAGGGACGGCATGGAGTGTGGCTTGCCTTTCGTGGCCTCACCGTGCTCGCGAGCCCGGGGCACCTGGCTGCAGCGACTGGCCACGAGATCCACGCCTGGAGATCGATTGCGCAGGAGCAGGAGTTGGTGCACAACGCGCCCGTCAGCGGCGGTAGTGGCTTCGTGGACCTGCGAGGCCGGCCCAAGCCCCCCCCCGCGGCGGGGCAGGAGCCTGCTGAGCAGGGCGACGAGAGCGGCATGGACGTCGGACCGCGGGCGGAGGTGCCGGAGGAGCCGCAGCCCGCCTCGGCTCCGCCTGAGCCGGAGGCGCCTCCGGCCCCGCCTGAGGCGGAGGCTCCCCGCGCGGCTCCGGCCGCGCCCGAGCCGCCCGCGGCGCCAGCCCCAGCTGTGGGGGCTGAGGACGTGCCCGTGCCGCCCGACCTGGACTTCGACGCGATGGAGTTCGACGCGGCGATGCAGGAGATCATGAGGGACGACGGCGACGATGACTGGCACCCCGACTCCCACGGGGCGCACGCGGAGCCCGAGCCGGGGGCCTCTCGACATCGGCGTCCTGGGAGTCTCCTGGAGGAAGAGGAGACTGAGGAGCGCCGCGAGCGGGAGGCCAAGCGACGGCGCCTGCTGGACGATGTCCCTGTCTCGATCCGACAGGGGACTGCAGGATCTGTCGACTCGGCAAAGTTCGTGCTGGACAATGACCTGGACGAGTTCATGGAGGCCGGCTTGGAGACGTACCAGCAGGGCGAGGCTTTCTTCGTCCAGGAGGGCATCGGCAAGGAGGAGTTCATCTTCGGGCTGATGCGGAATGAGTTCGAGCACGCGTTCCTGACGAAGAAGCCTGGGAGGAAGGAGATCGAGCTCGGCAGCTTGCCTGAGGAGCAACGCCGGATGTTCGTGGATCGAGGTGGCAGTCGTGATGCAGAGTGGCGATCCTGGCAGGACTTCGACGCGGCTGAGCCGATCCCGCCGGATGAGAGCGAGGCGCTCCGCGCGGACAAGGCCAACATCATCATCCCGATGCGCTGGGTGGATACCGACAAGAACGACGGGAAGTACGACGAGGCCGGAGCCCCTCTGCCGCTGCTCGCGAAGAGCCGCCTTGTCGTGGTGGGCTTTCCCGACCGCTTGCTGGGTATGTTCAGGCGGGGCGCTCCCGTTGCATCACGGCTGGCGGAGGCGCTGCTCCAGACACTGGCGGCGGCCATGGGCATGATCCTCTCCCTGGGCGACGTCAAGAACGCCTACTTCAATGGGCAGAACCTGCAGCGCGAGGTCTACCTGGAGCAGCCTCGAGGAGGCCTGCCTGGCCTTGCCCCGGGCCAGTTGCTGAGGGCCCGCAAGGCCGTCTACGGCTTCGCGGAGGCAGCGAGGCTATTCTGGCTAGCGCTGCCTTGCTGTCCGACGGCTGGCTTCAGTCGCGCCTGGAGCCGGCGCTCTTCTACAAGCGCGTGGACGGGCAGCTGAAGGGCATCGCGGTCTCGCATGTGGACGACGTGCTGGTGGCGAGGATGAAGGACATGCAGCTGTTGGACCTCCTGCCGAAGGTCCTGGGTACGTTCCAGTGGAAGTGGAGCGAGCTGCCCTTCACCTTCCGCGGCCGTGAGCTTTCGAGTGATTCGAGAGGTTTTCTGGTTAGGATGGTGAACTACGCAACTTCCCTCAAGCCGATCAAGATCCCAGCAGGTCGAAGGAAGCAGTTGCAGGAGGACTTGAACGAGGATGAGGCGAAGAAGCTGCTGAGGGTATCTGGTGAGATTGGCTGGCTAGGTCGACAGTGCCGACTCGACCTGGCCTTCCTCTCGGGCGAGCTGCAGAGGGCCCGAGCGGCCCCGTGTGTGGCGGACCTGGTGAAGGCGAACCTGGCGGTGTCTGAGGCCAAGAAGGGCGCTGAGGTCGCGCTGGTCTACCCGGCCAACTTGAGGCTGTCCAGCGCTGTGATCGGCGCGGCCGTGGACGCGGGTCACGCGAACGGCCCGGAGCACGACGACATCGAGCGCTACAAGAGCTGCGGTGGCCACGTGGTGCTCCTCACGACCGACGGCATCCTAGCCGGACACCAAGCACCGGTGGCAGTGCTGGACTGGAAGAGCGGCATGACGCAGCGTGTGCGCCGCTCAACCTTGGCGGCGGAGGCCAGTCACCTGGCAGACGCAGTGGGGGCCGTCGACTGGGCGGCAGTGCTGTTCAGAGAGGCTATGAATGTCTCGGTGGATTTGCTCAACTGGCAGGAGGAGGTACAGCGGCTTCCCCGCTTCTGGGCGACAGACGCAAAGTCCGTCTACGACCACCTCGCGAAGGAGGGCTCGGCTAAGAGCAAGGACAAGAGGATGGCGATCGAGGGCGCCTTGCTCAGAGAAGTGCTGCGCTGCGAGAACACCCACCTCAGGTGGATTGACGGCTCGCAGAACATCGCAGATGTGCTGACGAAGCTTGGGGTGGACAAGGTCTACCTCTACAAGGTGCTGCGGGAGGCCAAGTGGAGCCTGGTGCAGGACCCGGCGGCGGCGGCGATCAAGATGAAGAGGAGTATGCAGCGTGCTAGCCGCAAGACCGCCATCGACACTAGGAAGACGGAGAAGAGGCAGCAGGACAAACTCGTGAGAGCGAATGAGATGCGGGACATCGCAGATTGAGGTGACAACCAGGCGGTTTTCGGCGTCTCCTTTTGAGGGCGTGTGAAGATTTCCAGGCTCTCCTCAACCCGCCTATCCCTTTCCTCTTTGCTCTCCCTCTGCCCCTCTCCCGTGCTCCAGCAACCACTGTGGGCCCAAGCCTGGGGCCCCAGGTTTTACTGCCTCTCGGGCGGCCCGCGCCCGAGACTCGTGAGCCTGCCGGCACGCTGGTCGGAGCAAAAGGGGCTGCGCCCACTCGGATTGCAGCAGAGCAGCAGATCGGAGTTCAAATCCATCTTTATGTGTACATTTTCTGCTACCCAGCGATCCAATACTACCTCAGAGGCCCCGAGAAACGCCCCGAGACGGCCTGAGAGGCTCCCAAGTGGGTGCCCAGATGGCCCAAGGGGCCCCCCAAACGGCCCAAGAGACCTCCAAGACGGTCCGAGGACACTTCAGGAGCCGCCCAAGATCGGCTCCAGAGGGTGAGCCTGAACTAAGATTTAGACATCTCCGCGCACTGGGACCCCCTGGAGGCCAAACAGGCCTCCAAGAGGCCTCCCAAGAAGCCTCCAGAAGCGCTGCCAGACGGCCCACGACGCCTTCGAGACACTACGGGAGCGTTCCACGTGGCAACCCAAGAGGGTTCCGAGGGGCAACGCGTGTTTTACTTTCCATAAGTTTCCGAAGGTCATTGGCACTTTTGCCTCTTCCCCCCTGCCCCTCTGCCGGCATGCAAGGATAAATATGGTAATCCCCTGAGTACCCAATTTAGTCCCCCGGTGTCCAGGGCTCTTTTTCGGAAGTTTGGGATAATCGGCTCCAGGAGTAGGCGAAGTCGCAATTTCCACATCCGAACGGCGCCAGGAGACCACTAATATGGCCAAGACATGCCCCAGATGGCCAAATATGGCGCCCAAGCCGCTTTACACGCTTTCAGACGGCTCAGCATGCGCCAAGACCGCTCAGTAACTCCAAGAGGTCCGCGCGTTGTTGTTCGGGAGAGCAGCCCCTCAGCATGCAGAAGGCCCGTAGTACCTGGGCCGCGCGCCAGTGCGCACAGGCACGCTGCCGCGTGCCCGTGTCGACCGTGGTGGGACTGCAGCCGCGGAGTTGCGATGGCACCCGTCAACCTTCCGCGTCTGTCCGCGCGTTGTTGTTCGGAAGAGCATCCCCTCAGCATGCAGAAGGCCCGTAGTTCCGGGGCCGCGCGCCAGTGCGCACAGGCGCGCTGCTGCGTGCCCGTGTCGACCGTGGTGGGGCCGCAGCCGCGGAGCTGCGATGGCACCCGCCAACTTTCCGCGTCTGGTTGCGTGGGCCCGTGTGTGCTGTTGCCGTGCTGCTCTCTGGCTGGGTGGCAGCCGTGAAGCCGCTGGGCGACCTTCAGCTGTCCCGAAGGCGGCCCCTAGGCGGCCCGTAAGAAGGCGGCCTTCGGCGACCCTGAGTGCGGCTCTTAACTGCCTTAGGGCGGCCCTGAGGCTGTCTTGGGCTGCTGGAAAACCGGTCCCGCTGCCGCGATGTTCCACCTCGATCCCCGAGGACAGAAGGCAGCCAAGCACGGGGGGTGAGAAGTGAAAACCATGGATTTCCCTACTGGTTGCCATTGATTTTTGTTAGCGTGCTCGCTCTCTCCTCGTCCCCTTCCGCCAGGCAGCACAGCTTGCCCGGGGCTAGCGTGGCGGCGTGCCCTCGGCCGCCTTCGACGGGCCCTGACGCCGCGGATAGAAGTTCCGCCCCCGCGGAGCCCCAACACAGCCCAAGAGAGACCCAAGAGGGCACGAGACGGCCCAAAAGGGTCGTCCCGTGGGGCTCACGGAACCCCCCAAGACGGCCCAAGAGGCCCCGAAGCCGGCCCAGGAGGCCCCCAAGACGGCCTCAGGGATGCCCAAGAGGGCCCCGTTCGAAATCATGTTTCCAGAAGCCTCTCTGGGCACATGATTTCCGGCTCTCCGTTGCCTGCAAGAGGCCGAGCTGAACCAAATCCTGAGAGAGTCCCTGTTTGCGTACCGCCACCATTGCTGAGTACTGATTCGCTGGCAATCCCGAGCCCTCCTCGCAGGGCTGTGTTACGGGTGTGAGCTGTGAGCGCACTTTGGGTTACCCCCGCATCGAATTGCCTGAACGAGACCAAACAGCGGCGGCACAGACCAGCGAGCAACCGAGCACCACGGAAATGACTGGGATGGAAGAGGAGGGGGAGAAGATGAGGCTATGCCTCTGAGGGTGGCAAAGAGAGAGAGAGAGAGAGAGAGAGAGAGAGAAAAAAAGAGTCAGAGAAAGAGAGAGAGAGAGAGTCAGAGAGAGAGAGAGAGACAACAACAAAAATCAACCAGACAGAGGGAGGGAGAGAGAGGGATAGAGTCCGGTCGAGTCAGAGAGAGAGAGAGAGAGAGAGAGAAGACGCCGCCCGGGGCCTCCGCATGACAGGAGCGGCCGTGCCGCGCGCTGGCGGGCCAGCCCCCTCCGAGGCGCCTGCGGCTCCGCTGGCGGCCTCCGCTCTCCGCTCGCCGGCTCGGGGCTCAGCGGGGGAGTGAGGACCTTCCTCGATCACCCTCGCTCCTCCTCACTCCTCCTCGCTCCTCCTCGCGCCTCCTCGCGCCTCCTCGTGCCTCCTGCTCCTCCCCCTCCCCCTCCTCCTCGTCCTCCTCCGCCTCCTCCTCCTCACCCTCCTCCTCCTCCTCCTCCTCCTCCTCCTCACCCTCCTCCTCCTCCTCCTCCTCCTCCTCCTCCTCCTCCTCACCCGCCTCTTCAGTCGGCGTGTGAGGCCCATGCAATTTGAGCTCCGACTTTCACTGAAACTCACTCGCGCGACTTCCGCCCCATACATTATCCAATCCCGGTCGGGCGGGCGAGAGGGAGCAGGGGGGAGGAGGAACGGAGAGAAGAAACAATCCCTGCAGCCACTCCGATACCGTACTTTCTGCGACACCTTCTCGCGTAACAGGGTCGTAAGCTGGTGACGGACTTATCTTGTGCCGCAGATTTCCATGTCAATGGAGGATTGGAGTGCGACCTTGGAAAACTGACAATTGAATATCGCAGAGAACGGATCCACCGAACCCATGCTCGGAAATGCCAGATTGCTAGGATTGCCATTTGCGAGCACTTGGTTTATCAAGTGCCGTCGCTAGACAGCAGTTACCAGAGGGAAGATGGAGGCCCCGAGGTTCGGAGGCAACCGGAGGGTGTGAATGGAGAACCTCGAAAACCCGTAAACGTCTCAGAGCCTTGGGAACAGCTGTTTCAGGAGTTTGGCCCTGTAGCAAATCAGGAGTCACAAAACAGAGAACGATTTTCTTTTGAAACAGACGACGCTGGATATAGAAATCCAATTGCGGCAGTGGAACCCCATTGGCCCAGCTCTGCGTTCGTTTGTCCGTCGGCGAGATACGTTGAACGACGAAAACCAGAGGGGAGATGGAGGCCCCGAGGTTCGGAGGCCATTGTCGCCAATGGTGAAACTCGAAAAACCATGACCGCTCTGTTGGTGGAGGACAACAGTCATAGGCAGACGACAGCAGGCGACACAGAGGGAAGATGGAGGCCCCGAGGTTCGGAGGTCATTGGCATCTGCCGATGATGGACCTCGGAAACCCATGGACTCCCGAAGGGACATGGACGAGACGGAAATTTGGAAATATGGAGGCCAAACGACATGTCTGGAAGGGTCGACCGAGGGGATCGACACGCATGTTCGCCGCCGGATAGAGAAGGTCTGGGAAGGTGGAGGCCCCGAGTTTCAGAGGCCACCGACAGGTGCCGATGACGAACTTCGAAAACCAATGCTCCTCAATGATGGCCCTGAGATCGCAACACTTCTGAAATACTTCAGTCGTACAGCGACCAACGAAGGAATCACGAAGAGCGTTTTGCGAACACAGTGCACGGAAAGGGGGATGTCCATTGGAGAATTGGTTGAAGTAGTAGGATTTTTGCTTCGCAGAGGAATTGTGCAGGTTCGGAGGAGGTGGAGAATGAGTAGGAAGCGGAGGCGAAGGGACGGGCAACATTTGTTAACGGGGGCCCCTCGGACCTCTTAGTAGTGGAAGCACACAGTTGTTGAAGGGTTTACCATAGAAAAGAGGACACGGGAGCGCAACGGGCGAATTGCGGACGGCATTTATGGCATTAGTTCGAACGATATTTGCCATTGTTTTCCTGCGTATGAATTACTGCGCAAATTGGCTTCCAGCGGCACAGTGCGCACTTTGGCAGAAGTGGAATTCGCTCTTTCGGGATGGGAAAGCGTTGGTGGAATTATTGCCAGGGCGGGAGACAAATGCGCTTTTGCCCCGTGAAGATGACGCTCTTTCAGAATGGGAGAGTCTCGTCCTCGTTCAATCTTCTGCGCGTGCCGCGTGTGTCCCCAGATTTTCTGGGATAGGCGTGACCTTGCAGAGATCGGAAGCAGCGGAACTAGAGCATTCCTGAGCGCGTTTTGCTCGGGAAACGGAATTTGAGCGCGTTTGGTCCAGGGGGCATCTGTCGCGGCGTAGTCAGCGGAGAGCACGAGCGAGGACATCTCGGAGTGCTGGAGCTTCTGTGGAGGTGCGGGGTGGGGTGGTGGTGGTGGTGGTGGTGGTGGTGGTGGTGGTGGTGGTGGTGGCGGGGTGGGAGGGGGGGGCGGGGGCGGGGCGTCTCGGAGTGCAGGAGCTCTGTCTCGCAAATGAAAGAGGGGCTCGGGGACCCCCCATACATGGGAACCCTGTTCGCCAGCGCGCCCCCAAAAGGGGGAACGCGAAAACGGCCAGCAGCTGTTCCCCTCGCGCGGACCCGTAGGGGATCGCCTAATTCCGCGAGCCTTTTTTGTTTACGGGACCACCTCTGAGCTCGCCCCCATTGAGCTCAGGGGTCTGCCCCCTGCCTGCCCCATGGGAAATCTGGGACTGCGGCGTGATCTAATCGCAGGGGGTCTTGCTAGTTGCACGCGCAGTTCCTTCGTGGGCGTTGAAATTGCCCCCCATGTGCGGATGACCATGCCCTCCTCCTCCTCCTCTTCCTCCTCCTCTTCCTCCTCCTCC